ATATGTGTATATATATATATATACACATATATACACATACATACATAATCATAGCCAGACCAAATTTTGCCAGACCTAATTCCTAATTAGGGTGCTGTTTTCACAGAAATACGAATGCCCAGCCACCTTGGACTCAAGTACAACATCTAAAGGACTCATCAGGAAAAAGGCAGAATAAATCCCAAGTTCCCTGTGCTTCCTCCCAGCTGAAAAGCAGCCTCATCGGTGCCCCCCAGCAGGCTGAAGCTCCATGGAAGGAAAGCATCTATGCCGGAGGGAAGTTGGGACAGGGTCCAGGGTGTCTGGGGGCCTCTGGGAGCAGCTTGTTTCTGGACTTGCAGTCCATGAATATTGTTAGCGAGGACACCGATGAGGATAGCGCCAGCGACCTCTCAGACTCAGAGAGGGTTCCCATCCCCCAGTCCCCACTCAGCCCTCCAGATCTCCGCCTCCGAGCTGAAGAGTTCAATCCAGCCTACTTCCAACCTTACCCAGAGCCAGGCCACGCGAGATCTGAGGACAAATACCCTGACTTCCTGCCGCCCCCCTTCAACTCCTGGGACCTACAGGAGACAGCCTTGCTTCTGAACACAGAGGGCAAGACGGATACCATGCCACGTGCCTCGGGGCTCCTGGGGAGGTACATTGATCGGCTGGTCCAGCTTGAGTGGCTACAGACCCAGACGGTTCAGACTGAGAAAGCAAAGGGGACCAAAGGCAGGCCGCCAGCTGCCCCTGGAAACTTCTGGACTCTGAAAAGTCCCAGGAGAAGTAAACTCCCTGCTGCTGTTTTGGCCAGGCCAGCCCCGCCCCAGGAAGGGCCTTCCAAGCCAGGGCCTGCACGAAAGAAAGATCTGTACCGTGAAGACGTCCATACCCCATGCATGGCATTTCAGACTCCTCTGAGGCCTCTGGACATGCCAGCGGGCAGCGGGTTCCTCTCCAAAAAGCAGGCGCTTGAAGCGAGGACCGAGGAGAAGAAGAAGAGGTCCTTCAAGAGCAGTAGTAAGCTGCAACGTCTGGACCTGGTCTGTGGTACCAGCACTGCCAAGATTCACAGCAATGGCAACCTCCGAGCCTCCAGACCCTCAGCTGGGATTCCTGACTCAGGGGGCCCACCCAAGGCTCCCAAAACACAAGCACATCCAGCCCTCAAGAAAAAGGGGACTGCAAATAATGGGAACCAGGCCAGTACATCCAGTGAGAAGAAACTCAAACCCAATGGCGGGAAGCGAGGTGCATGCAAATTCAAGTGAGGGATTTCCTGTTTCCCAGGCACCTGGCCATTGAAGCCAGTGATGAAGTCACTGACGGGCTCTTTAGTTCACCTCCATCCTCAACCCAGGCCGAGTGGCTTTCTGGGTAATCCTAAGCCAACCTTATGTGGTGGTTTGGTTTGGGTTTATAGAATGTTTAACATTTACAGGTGTTAGACCCCAAGGTCTGATGGTAAAATAATTTGCAGATGTTTTCCTGTCAGTGAGTTCGATCGTGATAATGATTGCTACTTGAAGGTGAAGGCCTAGGAATGGCGTGTCCTACATGTTAGGGTTTCTGGAATATCCAGTGTCTCCTAAGAGGTGGTGGTGGTTGTGTGCCATGGAGTCGGTTCTGACTCATAACGACTCTGTTAAATCTTTATTGGACATAGTGTTAAATCTTTATGGGAACACAAAGGCTCATCTTTCTCCCGCAGAACCTCTGGTAGTTTAGAACTGCTGACCTTAAGATTAGCAGCCAGACTCATAACCATTATGCTACCAGAGCTCCTCTCCTAAGAGGAGTCATAGGAAAATCACTTTTCAGAGCTTGTCACTAAAGGGTCTCTAATACAACAAAAGCACATGGCACCATTTTGGATGTGACAGTTAAGTTAGAGCTTTGGGACCTGGGTTTGATGCCCTTAGTTACATATAATGATCTGTGGAGTTTGCAAGAGCAAGAAGGAACAATCCTCTTATGTAGAATCCCGAAGAGGGGACTCCTGGGCCATTTCAGGACGGAGAGAAAACTTTGAATAAAATCAGTGAGTGTGCCGTTCGCATTCTCATCTGGTTCTAGCTGTAGCTGCCTGGCTCTCCCCACACTGTTTACTGACGTGCAGTTCACACCATCTACTGGCAGCATTCCACCAGTGGAGGCATGAGCTTTCAGTTGCTGCTTATGCATCTTTCTGAGTGTTGGCTGATGGCTTCTTGATGGACGGTGTTGTTCCATGACTGTAGTTGATTTTATCCCTTTAAACACGTCTTCATTTGTTTTCCATATGCACTTTCGGTTTGTGTGTTATGTATTTATTTATTTATTAAATCTTTGGGGGCAAATGAGAACTTGATGTCTTTTCTTTGAAAATGGATAGTATTTTGCAGACTTCCCACACAGTGGTGCATGTCTCCAGAGGCACTTTGGAAGTCAGTGGCATAGCAGGACAAGATGTATTCATAGTTTAAGTACAAAGGGTAGCTCTTAAGACCTGAGTGTAATCGTACGAAGCAAAGTATGTATGTGTATGTGTGTGTGTGTGTATATATATATATATATAGCTCTGGTAGCATAGTGGATACGAATCAGGCTATGAACCTCAGGGTCAGCAGTTCGAAACTACCAGCTGTTCCACGGGAGAAAGATGAGGCTTTCTGCTCCC